ACATATAAAATACATATACATACACATATACATATACATAGACATAGACATGGACATATACATATACATATACATACACATACACATGCACATGCACATGCACATGCACATACACATACACATACATATACATATAGATAGATAGACAGATAGATAAATAAAAATAGATAAATACATAAACAAATAAATAAACAAACACATATAAATAAATAAATAAGACTATATATATATAGATATATATATATATATCTATATCTATATATATATATATATAGAGATAGAGTAAAGCCGAAAAAGTTGGAAACCGGATTAAGGACAAATTGTGCTGGGATTCCTTTTGCATTACTCTTAAGGACTGAGGCTGTTGGGTTTCCAACTTTTGGGCTTCTACTATATATCCATCCTGCGTGTCTCTATTCAAGCTCTGACTTGGGCTGGTGCAGGCCGCCCCGAAGCCTGCGGCCAAGCAGGGCGCCAAGGCGAAGAGTGCACCTCCGAAAGAAGTTGAGAAGGAGGGGAGCATGGCGAGCTGTGCTGTTGCGCCGCTGTTGTAGTCCTTGGCCGAAGCCCACTTGCATTCTGTGCGCTCTTTTTTGCGAGGAGCCGGAGAAGCAGGAACGCGAGCTTGTCCAGCCCTTCGAGATGGTGATGGCCTCAGGAGGTCACAGACGCCACGCGCAGCCTCGTTCCGGAAACCTTCTTGAACAGTGCCACTTCGTGCCATGGAAGCGCTCTTGAGCCTCTTGAGAGTCTGGGATACTGTGGAGGGAGGGCAGGCCTCCGGCCCCGTGCATGAAATCGAATGAAGCTCCGAAACCTGAGGACGACGGCACCGGAGGAGACTGGGAGCAGTCGACGGGGCTGTCGAAGAAGGCTGAGAAGAGGACTTCGGGCTCAGGGGTTCCTTAAGCTGGTGGACTTTCGTGCACGGCGTGCAAGAACAAAAAAGAACCTTTCAGCCAGGAAAGAGAAGGAGGAGCAGCGCAAGCGCGAGCAGGCGATGCGGCCGCCATGGGGCCGTCAGAGCTGTTTTTTTGGTTTTTGGTCTCTGCTTTTGTGCTGCCCGGGAAGGCCATCGAGGCAGCCCAGGCCAGGAAGACTGTGCCTGGCATGGTCCGGGGCCTCAGCGAAGTCTGCCTGGGGATCTTCGAAGACTTGTCCCTGTCTTCCTATCCTCTACAAGGCACCAAGGCACCACCTGGGATGTTTATCTTTTTCAGTCTTGTCCCTGCCATGCTCAGCTTCAGCTTCTTTTCATGCGTCCTGCAAGTGCCCTTGGCCGTGGCTGATCTGCACTCCGACTGGAATGACCATGCCTATGCAACGTCCAGACGCGTGGTGATTCTTTGAGATTTTTGGAAAAGTATAACTGGCATCCGCCTTGCAGAGAAGCCATGAAGCAGGTTGTGAAAGTACCCAGCTTTGTATTAAATCACTTTGCTGCATCAAGGCTCCCACGAACACTGTTCCTGGCATGGCCCCGGCACCAAAGGTGCTCCCACGGGTAGTGCGGGTAGTAGCTTGCATGACTCAATGAATGGGCCGGGTGGGCTTGCGGAAATCTTGCTACAAAGTCTCTGCCCGCTTTAGCGGCTGGGTTTGAGGTTCATGTTGGCAGTTGGCTTCTGCTGACACCGGGGAGATCTATCATCAAACCCCGTCTGACATGCGCGACTTGCCCCACTGCTCTCGTTTCTTGAGTGGAGGCAGCCTCCAAGGAGGAGATCGCAGCATTCATGGCGGGTGTCAAGGAGAAAGGCGGCTGCTTCAGGGCAAGATCTTGCTCTTGATGACTCGCTATTACTGCAGGAACCGTTTATTTGCTTTTCCTACTGAGCACTCTACATGAGAGGCTTAGCGACCGCACGAACCACTCCTGAAACACAGCTTTTAAATTCGGTCCCGATATGCCCGACCCCAATCCCCGAAACTCCGAAATTCTTCCGTTGCTGGCGCTGCAGGCGCTGCCGCACGGGCACAGGTGGAGGCAGAGAATGTGTGGGCCTCGGAGGGCCCCGGGCATCTGCTCAGCCGAAACATATTTCGATGATAGTTCGTAGGCTGCTGTCGACATGATACTGTTATACTGCTTTCTGTCGTGTTTTGCTTTTGGGGTTGGGACCCTTTTGGCAACGCTGCCAAGGCAGAGAAGACCAGCATGCACACTGCCCAGATCAAGGTGCCGGAGAACAAGACACTTGGATGGCGAGATGGGTCACTTGCTTCCTGCCTCGCCTTGTCTAGCCATGAACAACAGCATGGGATCTTTTTGCAGGGAAGTGACCCTTCTTTGGAGCCCCTGGTTGCTCTGATTCTGCTCCCAGCACTCAGACTGGCTTCGTCTCTCAAGCAGGCTTGCCATCCGGGCATGCACGAGTTGGACTCCCTTTCAACTGTTCAGCAGCTGCAGTGGCCTCCCGTGAAATCCTTGTGTAACGGCGTGGCTGGTCATCCTTACCCTGACCTCCAGGGTTGCGGAAGTCGAAAAATCCTCGCAAACGTGTCAAGGATCGGTATCGTCATCGGCCCCAAGGGGTCCAAGATCAAGCTGATCCAGGCAAGTTTTCTGAGCGACGGTTTGCGTTTGCGATTTTTCAGTCGGCTCCCATCAGGAGAAGACCGGTGTTACGCGTATCGACACGTCTGGCGAGATGTTCACCATCGTGGGACCACAGCAGGTGCTCTGTGCAGCTATCGGACCGGGTTTGCAACATGGTCTACGTCATCTTAGTTCGAATTTTGTGACTGTGGCCGATGCTCCGGCCAGGCGTTTGTTGGCCGTGCTGATTCGATCACAAAATGTCATGTTGTAGTGCCCATCCTAAACGATACTAAACGGCATAGCAGGCTGTGGAGATGGCCTATGCTGCCGTTAAGGACCTTTGGTTGCCTCTGCTGTGCGGAAGTGTTGCGAAAGCTCTTTAGGAACAGTTGATGAACAGCCCAAGTTAGAGTCGAGTCAGCCGATCTATCTGTGACTTCATCGTACTACAACACGTCATCGGATGCAGCTAAGACAGAAGAGAAAAGCCGTATCTACCACGTTGTGGTTCTAAACCAAGCCATCCCATGCGCTCTCACAGGAGCTGATGGAGAAGGGGTATTGCTCCATGGCATTCGAGGCATGTTTCTAGCTGCAGAGCGATCGCCGGCTCAGGGGTCATGTGCAGAGTGAGTGATCCTGAGCTTGATCCTCGTTCTTCTGTGAGGACTTCAAGGAAGAGGCCGTTCCCGTGCATCCCTCGGTATTCCCCGACCTCATCGGCAAGGGGGGTGTCACCATCAAGGCCACGCGACGGGACCGTCGAGGGCAGCAACTCGGTTGGCTCGTGTCGTGTTGTCTGGATACATCTTGTTGTAATGTTTTACCGTTCATGGCCTTGGTCTTGTTCTTTCTATCCTAGTGCTACCAGACTACACATGAGAATGCACCTTTAGATAGTTGGAGAAGCAGACAGCCAACCAGCCAGAAGGACAGAGACAGACGGACAGCAGAGACACAGACAGTCGGACGGACGGGCGGACGGGCGGGCGGACGGACGGACAGACAGACAGACAGAGACAGACAGAGGAAGAAGCTTTGATCTGTCGTGCTGGCATTACAGGACCGTCAAGAGAATCCAATGCGCAAAGGCAATGCCAACGTTTTGCTATGGAAGGCTTTCAAGAGCGAGTTGAACGTCGAGATTACCATCCCTGGCGATGTCAGAGACCTGGGCCGAGTTCGGACACCAAAGGTCCAGGCTGTTCTGGTACTCTTTGATCGCTCTCTCTGATCAAAAGCGAGATGGCCGATCTGTCTTGGTTCGTTGACAGCCTGTAGGCAGCTTCCCTGATGTAGTTGATAGTGTGGCGGGCCTGTGTCGACTGAGATTCCAAAGACCGCCACTACCGGCACGAAGAAGTACAAGGCTGCAGATCTTCTCTTGGGCCCCGTTCATTCTTCTGTGCCGGAGATGGCCGCACCGGTCGTTGCTCCACAGGTCACCCTGGCCGGCAAGGCCGACGACGTGAAGAAGGCGAAGCAGGCATCACCGAAGCCTTTCCTGCCTTCTTCCTTGCAGTCATCATCTCCACCGCCCGCTCTACTTTGTGTGCGTCCTGTGACTGTGAGCATGCATAGTACGTCTTCCCGAGTGTATTTCTTGGATTTCACCATGGGGGCACTGATGGTAAACCCCATGTGGCACGAGTCTCTGCTTAGCAGGTCCTGGCCTGAGTAGATTGCAGGTTATCGAGAACATCGTCTCGTATGGCTACCACGAGATCACACATCCGGGACAGGCGCGAGCAGATTCGTGACATGTCGTGCCCCGATCGATTTCCACCGTGGCTTGACGAGCCTGGTGCATCTTTGCCAGACCCATGAAGAGATCGAAGTGGAACCCTGGGCCTACAAGTGGTGGGCACAGATTTCGGCTCAAGACGCAGCATTCAACATCTGCCAGTTTCCGTTTTGTCCACCCCACTACATCCCTGCGCTTTCTCTTCGCTGTGTGCTACTCACAGAACCTTGGCTCAGTTTGAACCGACGGATGCTGAGGTTCTTGATTGGCAAAGCCGGTTCGGAGCTCCGTCACATTCAGAACAACTACAAGGCAGGAGCCAACGTGGCAAGCCGAGAGATTTCGAAGTCCCGTGACCGTGTGAGCCTTCAACCTAAGCATTTGCCAGGTGAAGGTGAACATTCCTCGTGAGCACTCGGTGTGTCAGAACGTGGTGGTCGTCGGTGGACCCGGCGACGTGGCCCGTGCCGGAGCCAGCAAGAAAGGGGACACCGGCACTTGACCCGGGGACTCCTGGGACCTGGGACCGGGAGCTGTCCAGGTGCAAAGGACTACATTGACAACGTGCTCTGGAAGGCGCAGAACCAGCCGACAGGCCCGCCCTTCGAGGAAAGCCCTTGCTTCTGCGAAGGTCGATTGTGAATTTACACAGCCTGCACCCGGCCCAAAGCCCCCAGCCAGAAGAAAGACTATAGTGTGCCACAATTCTGGTTGTCGCTTCCAGGTCGCCGGGATGGAGACGCGGCAATTGACACCTGGGGTCAGGAAGAGGAGGAAGAGGACGGCCGATGGCAGCCATTCTTCCTGTGTTGATAGGGGCACGCTTAGCCTTACTTATGTGCAGGACTGGATGAAGGCGTACATTTACAAGCGGAAATGAGCCTAGCTGGATTGCTGTCAGCAGTCTCCTGCTGATGTGAGGCTCAGGCGATCCAAAGATAGGCTCTGGCGAAAAAGAGTGTGGGTGTCTTGTTTTTTCGTTTCCGTAGATGCAACGTCTGCCTGCTCTTATGGGCGCTACTGGTATGTTTGCTGTGCAGTTTACAATGTCTGTTGTGGAAGTTCGCGGTCTTCGACGGCCCTTTGATTTTGCATACGCGGCGGGGGTCTTCAAACTGTTACTCAGCTACTGAAGGAAAATGAGCATTAAGCTGGTCTAAGTCTAAGCCTTAGCCATAGTTCATTGAAACGATGCTTGACAGCCTGCCGATCTGTTTCACTGCAGGGCAGGCAGGCATGTCCACTGATTCCCCGTTGAATCTAGTAGCCATTTGCACTCTGTGCAGCATGGCTTCTTCTTGAACTTACATCTTGCTTCTGAATTCTGAAGCCTGATGAGAGGGTTCGAACCTGCCTGGGCCAACAGGTCTCGTTACAAAAGTGTATCCCAAGCCTCTCGAAGCGATGCACTGTATTCCTTCACTTAGAGCCTCCTTTCCTGGGCTTCCTGGCCCCGCTGTTGGCCCGAAGGCCCAACTGGACCTTCTTAAGGCACACCTGAGGCATTCGACCGGTCCAAATCGCCTTGCGCGCTTCTAGTCTGGAGCATGAAGCCGTAGTCGCCGAAAGAAGTCGGCAGCAAAGAGACTTAACGTGGTTTGCAAAGAAGATTGCATGTTGCTTGACTTGGGCTTCGGCATCTCCATGTAAGTAGACTCGACAGGCATTTGAACTGGGAGAGTACCGTTCTGCCTGAGCTTCCAACGGCTTTAAAGCTGAGAGACCTCTGCAGACACTGTGTTTTTGTTCTCGCTCGTCTCGCTCAATGCTGGTGAGGCCTACCCTGCTGTGGCTTCACTTCTCTGAGTCTCTCTGTATACTTCCGGTGTGAGCAGGTTGTTTTGCTGCTTCTGATTCGGACTGGTTGCTGCTTTCGTAGGCTCTTAATGCGGAGACAAGGCGAAGCCACTTGATATGCAGATGTCAATTTCCAGCAAGAAGTGTACGATAAACCGGTGCACAGCATAGTTGTATTGTCGGGTAGCACACCTACGTGCGCAGTAACAATCGCGAACAGCATAGCTGCCTTCGGCACTCTGGCTCGACGCGTCTTCGACGTCTAAGCACACGACGAGGAGAAAAAAAAACATGTGCCGCAGCTCGACCCGTCGACGACCTTCTGCAAGGAAGCCCGGCGACTGGCTAAGGCGGCGGTCCGGGGCATGCCAGGCACTCTGCTCAAACAGGTCTTTGACTTCGGCACCCTGACGCCATTGGTGCGCTTTGGGCCGGCGGACGGGCCACTGAACTGCCGGCAGGTCCACCACGCAGTCGACGTGGTGGTGGTGGCCTCGTGATTCATGCTGAGGGAGACCCAGATGGCCGGCGCGAGGATCAACAACCTCACACTGTCGTCGGCAACCTTTGGCGGTGGCATCTTCTTGGACATCCCGCTCCACAAAGCGGCGCAGGGGGGGCAGCAGGAGCTGACACGACGCTCGCTTCGATGCGTCTATGCGGCGGCCATCCACCTCTTGTACCCGGCCTGCGCGGCCCGGCGCCGAGCGTCCCCATTTTTGAGGGCACGCGGCAAGGGTGGCAGAGCCACGTTGCTGGTGGCGTGCGGTGTTGCCCTGTGGCGGTGATCTAATTCCTGGACAGATGCGAGTTCGGCGGTGGAACGCTACACCCAGGCGGCGCCGCTCATGTATGCAACGGCGGCGGTACCGGCACGCCCTGCCACACAGCCGGTACAGCCCGAGGCACCAGCGGCATCCCCGGCGGGGCCATAGCCTACGAAGAGGGAGAACAGCTGGGAGGTGGTCGCCCTTCCGGACGCACAGGCGGAAGAGGACGACGTGCTCGGGTGGTGATGAACTTTTGGACTAAGGTGCTACGCCTAGCGGGACTCGACGAGGATAATCTGGAGCGCCACGAGTGGGTGGCGAAGTGTGGCTGGCCCTACGGGGTGCGCCAGTTGTTGGGCTTGTCGGGGCGGGGGCCCGGAGAGGTGTTGTTAGGTTGTGGCCCTCGAGGGTCCGTCCTGGTCCCCCGCAAAAGCCTCGACGTGCCCACGTCGGCGCAGGCACGGGCCGATATGAGGAGAAGACGGTGGACGGCGTCAAGAGGGTGTTCCCGGTGGACGTGCCTGTCTCAGGGCATCACGCAACACCGGGTGTTGTTACCGGTCGTCGGTGTGCTTCTTCCACCCCGGTCCGGGCGTAGCGCCGGTCATGTGGAAGCAGGCGGTGAGGTTCTCGATGTCCGGGTAGTTGAGGCGTCGTAGGCGGTTCAAGAGGGCCGGGGCCTGTGTCACCGCCGGCGTCGAACAAGTCGCCCCCAGGCGCTGGGCCATCCATGAACTTGCGTCCTCGGCCAAGTCCTCAATGACACCGTCCAAGGCCAATGTGGCCGATGCGGTCTCCCGTGACGACTTTGCTCGTGCCCGACGCGAGGGCTGGACTGGGGTCCAGACCCCGGCATCCGAGACCATGTGCATCCCTGCCAAGTCTGTCGGCGACTTCTTCTACCTTGTGGACGAAGCGGCGCTCGACCTGGTGTCCTGTTCTCCCGCCTGGCTTGCTGAGCCGGTGCGTTGTGTGGCAAGGTGCGCCGGGTGGTGCTGAGATGCGCACCCGGCACCGGCTGTAGGGCCTGAACCTGCGCGTCGTACTGCGCATGCAGCGCTACATATCCACACGACGGAGAAAAAGAGTCATCCAGAATTGGGGTCAGAGCTAGGAGCACGGCGATTGTTGTGTAGCACACTTGTGTGCGCAGTAACAATCACGAACGGCGTAGCTGCCTTCAGCACTCTGGCGCGACGCGTCTTCCACGTCCAAGCTTTTAACCCACCCTCGCCACCCCATAGGGGTTTCGGCCGTCAGTCCTCAGCGGGCCGGTGCTCAGATGCACGCCCCAGCGCCGGCTGGAGGACCTGAGCCTGCGCGCCGAACGGCGCATGCACCGCTACATATCCACACGACGAAGAAAAAGAGTCGTCAAGTTTTGGCATCAGAGCTAGGAATGCGGTGGTTGTTACAAGTTACTTGTCCTGCTGGGTGGCCTCTGACCAGCATTCAACGTCCTGCCATTTGCTGAAGGCGGCGGGGTGCGACGTTTGCTGCAGTCATCTTGAAACTGTTTCATTTTCTATTGATGTACTTGTGTCTTTTTTTGCCTTGGGCTCTAGGGTCGGTCCAGGCACACCCTTGCGAAGGCTCTGCAAGAAACGCCACTCCGTATTTCAACCTTCACGCAAATGGAGGCAGCGCGCACACACATTGCAGATTCTCGATAGAAGCGTACGGCTTTCGTAAAGAAAGGTATCGTCCCACATTGACATGCACTGGTCCAGTGGCATCCGAAAGTTCTGCTGTGGTCATGGGCATTATCCTAAACCCTGTACCTTATAATGTATAATCCCGAACAAGAATCGCAGACGCGACTGCAGTACGAGGAAGCTGCTGTGCCACTCGCCTTCCGACCATAGACAGGAAGCAGGAGCAAAACGGTCTCTGTGCCCCCAGTGCCGAATGAGAGTTGAGCAGGAAGCGCGAAGCAACAGAGGCGGCTTCCTAGGAATCTGCTACCACCTTCAAATGCTGTCAGGCGAGCAGTCTATTTCAAGTTTTTGTGAATTGAAGCTCAAACGAGTAGACTTTCCCCACCAGCATTGTCTATCAGTCACAGGCCCCTAAAGCCCTAAATCCTAAAACCCTAAAACCCTAGATTTCCAGATTCCCAAAGTTTGGTTTCTTCGGTACTCCCTGGCAGGAACGCGTCTTCGACCCCAACCTGGCCTCTTTAGCCTTGGGGGTTCAGGACCGGCCAGATACTAGGGGTATGTAGGTTCAGGGTTTGGGGCTTAGGGTTTAGGGTTTTAGGCTTAGGGTTTAGGGGTTTCGGGTTTCGGGTAGTTATGGGGCCTTAGAAGGGTTTGGTATAGGGAAGTTAGCGACTCGTGCGGCCTTGGTGAGTAGAAAGAGAACAGGGTTTTGGGCGCTTTTATGGCATTGGGCACTGGGTGGTGCTTTAGGCCTTAGGCAGAGGGAGACAGCACACAGGCAATAAACTGGTCCGAAGCAGAGGCCCTTTGGAGTTTCGCTAGGGATGCGCACCAAAAGCAACAAACAACGACAACCCTCAACCCTAAACCCTAAAGTACTCGGCCAGAGGCCTCTCACTCTCTTCCATCTTCTGCAACATCTAGTTCCCCATCCCCATCGCCGTGGATATTCGGATCCGGCTTCCTGTAAGCCTTATCCCATCGCAGTTTTGCGAGTGTCGGTTGATTCGACGACTGATGTTATGTCTAAGACGCACCAGCACTCCTGATTCCTGAAGTTCCCCCCTGTCCTTGAAGTTTGGTCACCCAGAGGGTTCTGTACGTCTTGCTGGTCCTTGTCGTCCTTTTGTCATGCCACTCTGATCCTGTTCGATAGAGTCTCCCCTTGATGGTTTGACTCCCTTAGCCAAGACAGTTGTTTCCCAAAGTACGCCCATCTTCACGCACTGCACTGCACTGCACCGCACTTTGAAATTTGGAGTAAGAAGACTTGTGAGGCTGGCAAATCGGTCGCGCCACCGCAAATGTTTTCCTTGGAGCAGCAGGAGGCAGGACGAGAGGAAGAGAGAAGAGCGAATTATGCGGCTGAGCTCGACGGGAGCGGACACTGCAGCCGGATATTCCGCACACAGATGACAATGTTGGAATGCCCTCCCAAGTCTTTCAGAGACAAAAACAGCGCTCTCTCTCTCCCTCTCTCTCGGTTTGGATGTACGCATGATGGGTGTTAAAGGGTAGAGAATTATTAGACACGCAGGCGAGCGGCACTCCATGCATGCACACATGCACTTATTATGTACATGTCTGTTTGCATCTACCAACGCTGAACTCGCGTGTAAATATTGTGTCTACACGTATTCACAGATCGATCCCTTCTTGTGTCCATCCATGGATCCAGCATCCATCCACGCAATCGAGCACCCAGCCAGCCAGCCAGCCATTCGTTCCATCTCACAGCCATGCATCAGCACATCGGGTCATGTGCAGGTAATCACAGGGGATACTTGCTTCGGCAAGCACACACCGTCAAGAATACACAAAGAAAGCTCGAGAAAGAAACACAAAGCAGCTAGAGACTTCGAGGTGTGCGCTCGCGCACGCGATGCTGGGGCACCCCCTTGCCCCAAATCCGCTAGCAAGCAATTGAGCTAGCCCTTCGGCAATCTGAATCGGCCAATCTAGCTGGACAACCTTGATGTCCTTGAGAAGGTGAACCCGGCCTATCCCGGCCTAGAGTGAGGGTCTTGAACCTCGACGCAGTTCGGGTCCTTGGCCATGGGTCCTCCGAGAGAATGAAAACCTCGGACTTACATCCAAGACGGCCTATCCCATTGAACCGAAGCCCTAAACCCTAAACCCTAAAACCCTAAACCCTAAACCCTAAACCCTGAACCCTAAACCCTTAACCCTTAACCCTAAACCCTGTTGCAGAGTGTCCTCTCCTAGCCTTTTCCTGTAGAGGCCCTCGGGGTCGTGCATAGTGCTTCCACATGGCTCGGACCTGCCTTCAATGCCTTTGCTCTCGTGCTCGTGAGCCGATGGCTTTCTCAGAAACTCGGAATTTCCTCGAGCCTTTTGCTACAGAAAGGTCGACGTACGTAGAGACACATGAGCGAAAGCCAGGGAGAGATCCCAAATCAGTACATAACCGGGCCAAGAAATACATACATACATATAGGCTGGGTGGGTGGGTGGCAGATAGTTCCGGAGCGGAGCATGCAAGAGACGCGTTGCGGGCTGCGCTGTGCATCGAAGTGCTGTGCTCCACTGTGAAGGCTGCACATTTGGTTCGACGAGCCAAACATGATGCCGAGGCCTTGTGCATACTGTAACTAGTTGGAGACTCATTAAGTGACTCACTTCAAACTTCAAGCAGGAGGCTAATCAACATTCTGAAGTTAAAGCAACGGACGGGTATGCAATTTCACCGAGGATGTGAGGCAAATTCGCTTGAGGCTTGACGTGCCATGTATATAATGCACACATCACCTGCCACACCTTCAGGAGTTTCGCAACGGTACTGCTGCACATGGTGTTGGAAAGGACCTCGTAATTCGTAGCAGAGAAACTACGCACCTGGAAAGGCACACCTTCGTCAATTCCACAGCGAGGAGTGTCAAGCATCCACTGCTGACGTCGGCCAGGCGCTCAGTGTCAAAGGTCCCAGATGCATCACAGAACAGCTCCGACCTTCAGCTGCCTTCTTCTTCTTGGAGGCTCCCAGCAGATAATCGCCACTGACAAGCTGCCCTCACCCACCCTAAACCCTAAACCCTAAACCCTACACCCTAAACCCTAAACCCTAAGAGTCCAAGCTGAGGCGCTCAATCCTCGAACCGCAGTGGCTTGGACGAGTCAGACACCTCGCAGGCCCTCGGACAACGCAGGAGTCTTGAGCTAATGAGACGATCAGCTATAGTATACTATGGTTTCTTATAGCATATACTATAGCACCTTTGTAACACATCATAGCAACGTATGGTATATTATAACCACACATCTAGTAACGCATGGTGTATTATAACATACTACAACACATCATTGTATCTTATGGTATATTATAACATACTATAACACAATATAACACATTATAGTATGTTATGGTATATTATACCATGCTATAGCACTTTATCGTACGTTATGGTATACTATAACATGCTATAACACAATGTAACACATTATAGTATATAGTAGTGATGAGATGCTCGTTGCTTTTGACCTGTGCCGACGCGCTGCGCAGGGAGTGGAAGCTCTCGGAGACGAGGTGGACAATTTTATGTAGGAAGCTGATTCAGAAACCTTGGGTCTTTATCAGGCTTCTTTATATGGATCCTCATATTTGGGGAGTGTAAGGCAAGGGTTTCTTGATCAGTTTCCTACATTACACCAAGTTTGGTACCACACCGGAGGTTCTTGACTTGCGGCCGACACCTGGAGCTGTGGAAGTCGCAGCAGCAGCACCCCTGTTGCATGAACTTCCTTAGTCAGCCTGCAACAAATGCCAACCCTGCGCAGACCGCCACACTCGCCAAGACTGCACCCCTGTTGCGAAGGCAGCCAGCCCCAAGCGAGCGATGGGCTCCCGTCCCAGCTTGGCTCTCTTCAAGAGCTGCCCTGGTCGGTGGGTTTTGTGGCCCAGGCACGACTGCATCACCTTCCCCTCGTGAAGGCCATCTTGAAGCAGCGGCTCTTCAGAAGGAAGGCTTCCATGTGCAGGAGGTAGATTTTTTCCATTGCTACAGGTACGGCCTAGTAGTTCTCATGTCTTGAATCCTGAAGCCTTCGGCACCTGCGAGCCAGCTTCAGCTTTCGCAAATTTGCCAGCTTGGACGGGGCCATCTGGCCTGGCTCCAGCTCCCAAGACCTTGAAGGACGACGGGATCGAGGCGAGCCTGTGCTTTCGTGCCTTTCTCCTCCGCCAAAGTCCCCCGGGCTTTGCACGAGGAGAGCTGGGAAGCCGGAATCTCTGACGAAGAGTTTGAGTCACGGCGCCTGTAGTGTGGGGTTAGGCAGTCGTGAATCTTTTTCCGCAGAGTAGCTTGTTCAGAACGGAGAAGTGCAACATGGTTCCGCGGAAGATGCTAGGTAGTCGGGCAGGAGTAGCCGCTTGCGGCACATTAGGCCGCTCTTGCGTTTCACCCTTGCGCGAGCAAAGGCTCGGACACCAGTACCTCGTCTGTCAGACGTCCTGCTGTGGACATACACAAACCCAGTGTTTTACAAAGACAGGTCTGGCAGACATCAGGTGCTTGTTAATGCTGTGCGCGAATTGGTAGGGTCAGTGCAAGCGTGCCCCCATTGAGACTTCTTGGAACGCTTGCCCTTCTGCGGCTCTACCCTGATAAGTCGAGGTGCGGAATTACAGGATCTGCGGGAACCGTCTTTCAATTCAAAACCTCGGCACGCACATGAGGACAATCTGGCACTGGCATGAAAACGAAGAGGCATCAGCGAGCTATTCAAAGACCAGTCGCATTATTTTCCCCAAGCTTGTACGAGCCCTGGCCAGAAACTCAACGAAGCGCAATCCGAGCGGGAAAAGGTGCGAGATCGGAGGAGGGTCGAGAAGTTCATGGCTGCAGGCTTGAGAGTTTGGAAGCAGGTCGGTGAGCCAGACCCTGGCACGTGAAATTTTGGAGGGTGTGATCTCTGCCAGAAGCGGTTGAGAAAGCTGTTCTCCACAAACCCAACAGAACCGAAGCATGCATGAGGTGCTGTCCGGCGACATCCGATGGCCAATGCTGGGTTGGCAAAGAGCCGCTGTCTGCGCTTGTGGGACAGCTGCGAGACTTTTGGACTGACGAAAATCCCTATAACCTTGCACAATGTATGGCATGGACTGGGCGTTCGTCTGGCTCCAGGTAGGTGGCTGTTTGTTCTTAGTGTCTTACTGTCATGTAAGTAGGTTGAGGTGACTCTATGCGTTGCGGTTAAGTTTGTAAGGATGAGGCATGCGGCATAGCAACAGACCGTTTCCCAGACACCCAGACTGAGGCTGCTCCCTAGACATCGCTCGGCTGTGTAGTTTTAATCGGGAGCTTTCCGCTCCTTGCTCCCCATGAAAGTGCTGGGGCCCCGGGCCCATGTTGCCGCTCGATGATCGCTGCTACGCAGGCTGAAGAAGTGACTTGAAGCTTTGCTTTAGAATGGCGACTCTTCCATACGCTCCCGAAAAGAACAGCCGAAGGGACAAAGGGCCTAGGCGGTTGAGGTGGGTTCGCTTGGGCCTTCGGCTGGAGCCTTTGCCTAAGCAGCACCAGAGAGGAGCCTTCGACGGCACCGGCAGCGACCCCCACTTTTGACTGGGCGGCGATGGCCTCGACATTGCTTCATGGGTGCACCTACTTCTGAGCTTAGTTTGTGCCTCCGCCAGCAAAGGCCTTTGCACAGGGTAGAGTGCATGCGAAGGGCCCAGATTCTTAACAAAACGTGATGACAGTGATACAGGAAATCCAACAGTTTGCCGAGGATGTGGATTCCTTGCAGACGCTCACATCGGGCTTAAGGAAGGAGGCTCGGGAGCATGTCAAAGTGACGTACTGCATCCTAGAGCGTCGTAGCCTGCACTGTCAGGTTCGCGGCGGTTCTCTGTGCTGCACTGAGATCTCTCAGGGTGGTAGTGCCTGGTCTACAGTAGCGGCCTGGATGCAAGGCAAGCGCACATCTGCACCATCTCGCGCATAGATGACGTCGCTCGCGTCATGGAGGCAAGGCCCGGGAGAACTCGCAGAAGGGACAGGAAACTTACTAGATGGGACATGTATCTCGAGCACCCTACGAGGTGCTGACGTCAGGAGACACAGGAGAGACAGGTAAGTACGCGGGAAGCGGCCATGTCTTTGATGTGAGGCCATGCGGGCTGCCCTGGCCTTCCAGGAGGTCACCAGCTCTGACCCCGGCACTGCCTTTTCCCGATCCCCATCGACAGCCCATCCCAGCCCTCTTTCTGAGGCTGGTGCTACGGGTATCGCTTGAGAAAGCGAGCCGTGGTGGAGGCCCGGCCGGTCCGGCAACTTGCAAGCCGCAGAGGCATGCCTTGCCGTAATTGCCTGCAGGACGGCCATCCCGAGGAAGGCCAGGGTGATGCTGTGATACTTTCCTGTTCTTGCTGGAGTTTTTTTTAAAATCATGCTTCTGTCAAGCCCTGCCTGATGGGAGATTTGGCAGAGGCGCCGGGGATGCCCACGAGGGTTGGGAGGACACCAGCCAAGGGCACTCGTCGGAGTTGAGAAGTAGCTTCGGTGCTTCGGCAAGCACAGCAAAAGTGCGCAAGAGGATGGCCTTGACGAGGGATCTGGGGAGCCGGCGCCTTAGTCGTCCAGCGCGTTCATGTCTTCAGATGTCAGCACTCACTGTGCATCTCCGGGCCGTGGAAGCCCAGGAAGATCTTGACGGTCATGCAGCGCGCTGGACTCCAGGCGCACATGATGGTGCCATCCCGTCTCTGCCGTGAGCTCGCCCCCAAACAGAGTCCGGTCGTACGGCTGGTCGTGTGCGTCTTTTAACGCACGGACGAGAAGCAGGGCGCAGCAAAAATTTTCAGTCGGCCTGCCGCCATGCTCGCAGGAGCTGCTGGTGGTTGTGAGCCGATGGCAGGAGCTGGGGTGGGTTCGGGTGAAGGAGGGCCGGCTTCTTGAACCAGATCGATTCAGCATAGAGATTCCTGCTTGAGCCAACTCCGAAGACGGGAGTTGCTCAGCTAAGGTGTTTCCGAAGATTCCGTTGAAGCGTAAAGCTCACTTCAAAGTACTTCATGCCGTCTAGTTGCAACAGGGAAGAGACTTCTTATGACTTCTTACAAAGCAGCATGTGAAGGATCATGGCCGGGACTACCAGACGCCAACCCCGGGCCTTGAGCTTTACGGCTTGCAGCTTTACTCGATGGTGGTGGAGCGTTGCAAGGACGTGACGTGGGTTGGATGGGGTTTGCCTCAGGTGGTTGAGAGGCAGCCCTTCTGGACGAAGTTGCGCACTGTTCGAGATGAGACAGGACCTAGTGGCCAACATCAAGATGGCAATGGGACTGGGCCAGGCTCTGGCATCCGTAATTCAAGCTCTGGACCATGGCTTCGCTCTTCTGACGCAGGTGCCGCCGAGCCCCCCGCCCATGCCATTTTTCAAGGCAGGTGCTTCGTAGTGAACGCCGCAAGCGCTGGAGAGTTGTGCAACTTTTGTGGAGAAGGAGAGGCTCAGCAAGAAGACCATTGACTTCAGCTTTCTCCCCCCGCTCCCCGAGCCTCGAGCCTGGAGCTCAAGCTGCTGTGCCAAGTCGCGGATTTTGGCTGTTTTTTGCTCAGTTGGCAGTCAGGTGCCCACGAAATTCGGACCCAACCACTTCTTGTACGAGTCCTCCATGAACAAGCAGCGGTCAATGCAGTCCACCCAGCCTGCTTCCAGGGCCGTGGGCTTGCAGCATCGCGCAGCTTCAAAGCAGATCTACAAGAGCTGAGATAGGGGGGGGGGGGTGCTCGTAAATCCTAAACTTTAAACCTAAACTCTAAACCCTAAAAATCTCTCTAACCCCTAAACCCCCCCCAAAACAGCCCTAAACCCTAAACTGTAGTATAATGCTTGCCAGTTACCCACTTGGGACTGTCGCCAGTTGGAGCAGGCAGAAGGCGGTGTCTCAACGACCAACTAACTTTCTCCCAGCAGCCGTAGGTTTTTTCGCACCGGAAAACCATTTTGTCAGCTTTTGTGGCAGGAGGAGATGCTAGCTCTGTCTCTTGAAAGGTGAAGTTTCTATGCCAGAAGCTACCCTCTCGGACCGGTTTTGTTTCCGGGAGGAGAAGCAAACTCTCTCGCTGAAAAAGGTTCCGTGGTTTCCGAGCGAGAAACTCACTTTCTTTTGAACGGTTAGTTCCGGATCGTGAAAACAAACTCCGCCGGACCGGGTTTGTTGGTGGGAGCTTGAACCGCCTCGGCAGGACTGGGTACGGTTTATTTCCAAGAGGAGGAACCAGCTCGCTCTTTGATGACTAGTTTTGGAGCAAGAAACTAACTCCGTCGGACCGGCTTGGTTTCCGGGAGTTTGTTAGTTTAAGAAACAACAAATTTCCAGCGCAGCGCGAATGCTTGTTTCCACTCGGGCCACTAGGGAAAACCAGCTTGTGCGGGAGACAGGGGAGGGAGTCAGAAACAACATCACTTTCAATCGGAGAGTTTGTTTCAGCTGCGAGAAACAAGCTCGGTCTTCTAGAGTTGTTTTGCCACGGAAATCGAAAGCCGGCAAGCATGGGTTGGTCTTTTTGCAGTTCATCTCCCTTTCCAGCAGTGCTTGCTCCTTTGATCCAAGGATCTACGCCTTTTCGAGCGGTTTGCTCCGAAAGTCCCAGACATTCGGCAGTCGAAGATCGGAAACTGACGTCCATGCGCGGTGTCATGGGAGGGTGCTTGAGAGCTCGTGCAAACAGGGCGGCTGCAACGGTTTAGGCTCGAGGAGGCTGCGGTCAAAGTCTCGCCGAGGCCTTCCCTCTTTGGAGGAGGAGATGTGCGGCTCTGGATGGCCAACGACGAGTGCTTGCCGCAGCCTTGGACGACGTTTAACCAGAGCCAATAGAGTCCTGAGTCGGAGAGAGGTGATAAGTCCCACCATTTTCCACACATTTCGCCCCACATCCCAAAGACCCNNCCCCCCCCCCCCCCCCCCCCGAGGCGTCACTTGCCAGACTCGGAGCTCTGGGCGCTTCGGGCCATACGTCAGCCGGCGGGGAAACCCAGGGAGTTGGTCATTTGGGAGGATCAAAGACTCTGAACGCCCCTGAACGCTGCGCTGCCCCTAATATTAGCCGCCTTCGCCCCCGTGCCAGGATCCCCTGATCGAGCCGCGGCCCGAGAGTCAGACGTTGTGGAACTGCATTGGGGCGGGGGTGAGGTATGACTCATAGTACTCATAGCTCACCTATGACCCCCTGTGCCCAGTAGGATCTCAGACAGGCGCACGCTGCATGCCGTGTCCCTTCTTCGTGGGCAGAGCCCCGCAGCGCTAAGCCGGGATGCCCAGAGCGGTAGCTGCGGTCGCTGAACCCGACTCATGTCTCTGTGGGAGCTGTACTTGACGGTTTTATTGTAGGCTGTCTAGGCTCAAAGAGACCAAAGCGAACCGCTGCCACAGATTCCCTCTCAAATCACCATGTCCGGCGTCC